ACATTGCGGCGACTTAAGGTCCCAGAGTAGGCCTAATTTTAAGACGTGCAAACTGGACGTGGCGGGACAAAATACTCGGCACCCCACAGCGCGGCCAGAAAATTATTGTGAATCAAAGCAAACCTATTTTAGTTATAGTCTCGATAAAGCCTTTCACTTGCAAGAGTTTCAGGCAAAATTATTTTTCACGCGAAATTAAGTGGGCGCAAGAGCCATAATGGGACAGAGAGGGAATCTTAGAGCGTTGGAATGTGAATATGTGAATATGTGAATTTCACTAAAGTTATTTTTAGAGGCTGTAATTAAACGGAAGTCTAATTCCTGGGAAGTCCGCTCATTTTAATCGATTGTTTGAAACATCATCAAGTCCACGCGTGACTGCCTTAAAGCAAACAAAGCAGAATATTGTGATGGCGATCGACTGTTGAATATTGAACTTGACCCTTTTCTAGTGAGATTTACAGGCGTCTAGATTTCGGCATCAATATTTAGATGAGCCTGATGAGCAGATTTCAGCTCAAGAAATTAAAGTTAGCGTTCCTACTCGCAAGCGTAGGATAAGCGATGATTTGTCCGAGGAGGACTCAAATTCTGTTTCCGTCGTGAGAAAGCCGTGAGAAGAAGTCCGCTTAATTATGAAAAGAAACAGACGAAAGTCAAAGAATTAACTAAAATGCTTAAAATGATGCTGCTTGTTCCAGTAAGTTTTTTTCCTTCTGGTGGGTAGATTATGCTCTGGAGCGAGGGTTCTAAGTTTTGATTTAACAAATGTGATTTTTGCCGCTTGTTTCACACTGAGAGGTCATGACACGCATATTGATTTTCTGTGGGTTTTGTTTCTAGTCGGCAGGATTGGCCCTCTGATCCAAAATTAACGCTCTTTGTTGCGGCTAAATAAGGTTTTAGGTTGTTTAATTTTCTCCAAAGTGCCTCCTGGATCTAAAAAACTAAAAGCGATTTTCTTTTGTCCGCGAATGTGATGGTTTCCTGCAATGTTTTGACACGCTGGGCCCACAACCTCGAATGTCAAATGAACTTGACGGGTTTTGTTTGCGTCCTCTGCCGCTGAAGAAACAAGTTTAGATACAATGTTCTGGTTTCCAAATTTTTCGTGACTTATTGTTAGAGCTGTTCTGATACGAAGTTGTGACACATGGGACGAAGTTTACTTTCTAGTCCTTTTTTTGTTAGCACCTCTGCTGCTTTCCTGTTTTGATTTCTGCTGTGATTTGCTTGCATTCTAGCGTTTTCGTTCGAATTGCGCGTCGACGTCGCTTCACTGGAATTGACGTTTGGCTGCTTGGATTGTTTTGTGCGACGATTATTCCCACTCCTCTGTTTGCCTTTTGCTGTTGTTTATTTCTTCCTGCCGAGGTTCCAGCACCGAAATTGAAATTTCATGATTAGGATCGCTGTCCGCGGACTTCAATTCTTCCTGAATAAACTGATACATCATCTAGCAAATCAGTCATTTCTAACGAAATCGTGGAATCTAGCTCCCAATCGGGACAACCTTTCAAGAGAAAACCATTTCCTTTGTTTACAAAATCACTTTGGTTGATGAAACGCACCTCCACGCGGGAAGCCATTATTTCTTGACAGCGCTGAATAAAAGTTTGCAGACCTCTCGGGAAACCAATTTCCGATTAATTCAAGCGTTTAATTAGTCTAAAAATAACTTTGGTGAAATTCACATATCCCAAGGGTTAGACTGGGCGTTTCCGTCTCTGTCCCATTATGGCTCTTGGTGGGCGGTTTTTACTGAGGCAGCCTCTTAAATATATTTTTTTAAAAAATTGGTAAAACTCCCTTGGCTGCCTCTAGGTGAACTGGCTAACGTTTAGCCAAGACAAACGCAAGCTACATGTCTTGAATTCCCCACCCCACCCCTGTAGAGTCTACTTAGAACCTTCTTGCCACTCCTTACGTACGGGTGGGCGTACGCTGACGTCATAACCGAGCGTGGCTAGGTTTCCCATTTTCTCTTAGATATGGGGCTCCGCTATAAAGATAGTGCCTAATAAGGGCCGAATGAAGACAAGCCTTGGGATAAGATATGCACTGGAAGTAATTTCTTGCAGGACTCGCCAGCGAAGTTGTGTAGCAGTTTTGTCATTGTGAACTAGAACAAAGCAGGCCCTATTTGTCTGGCGATATTACCGCTCCGACAACACGGATAAAATCGATCGTTTAATCCATGCCTCGGGTTGAAAAATGGCCGTAGAGATGAACAGTATAGTTAAGCAGCTGATGTATTCACTCCTTTCGGATCGGTGGACAAGAAATGCTTCAGACCATGTATCCAAAGTATCTGGTTTTGGGTAAGATCCACTGAATCCACCATTTGGATCAATAATCCCTGTTTTTGGATTATAGTAAAGAAATGAAATATCTATTTTCGGATAAAAAAAATCCGGACTTAGATTTTAGTAATTTCGAAGGCTGCAGTTGAAAATTCTTTTCATCCACTGTCGATTTTCAGCTGTCGAGCAGTGGAAAATCCTAAAATCCAGATGAGGTTTTCAAAGTATTCATCGCTACAAAGTTTTGTGTTTGTTTTTGTTTTTTCATTCATTCTGTTCGCATTGACACAAATGTGACAGGTTTGTGACATGTGAAAAAGCGGAAGTCCCTTGTTTTTCTTTTTTCTGATTGTAATAACAAAACAAAGTCAGAAGATTCATAATTATTTTGTGGGCGTTTTTAATCTGTAATGTTTAACTTTTACTGCAATCACAGTAAGCAGACAGGACACAGATAATTTTCCTTCATAAATGTACATATTTTCATACAGGAAATATACATTTAACATACAACTGCAACATACGTGCGCGTAACACCTAATTAAGTGACAGTTTAACAGCGAAAAAAAAGGAAATAAGGACATTACCCGATTGGAAAGTCTACAGTGTGATAGTTTTAGATGCTAATAGACGGCTGCTTAATAAAGGGTTGTCTGTAAAGCGTAAAGCGAAGAAGACTTATACAGTTGTCAGGTGTTGAAGATTAAAACCTGTTTCATCAAATACCTGAGTTAACATTTTGCCACTCTTACACGCTAATCCCTTACTTTTTCTACAGCTATTCCGCCGAGCGGGTCGTCACTGCAGTGGTATTATATTGTTGGCCCCATTTCTGCTGTCATATTTTTTGCACTGTTCATCTGGTACATGTGCAAGAGACGACTGAAAGGTGTGACCATAAACTATGTCCTCTAAATAGTCACCATAGCAACAAGCAAAGTTCCCAACTAGAAAAGAGAGGGCCTTTATTTCTACTTATAAAGACGCTACATTTTGCTCATCGTCCTCTTAACCCTGCTCAGAGTGGGGGGAGAGCGTTTGTGGCCTCCCCTCGAGATAGAGTTGAATAACTTCACAACCGTTCAAACTATGACCGCCAAAATTAGGGAATTTCCTAAAAATTATCTGGGATCATGTTAGAGTCGCGGTAACGAGTACGTCAACATTACGTTACCATGGCAAGCAAAGTTTGACCGTTTTTTTTTTAATATGCATTATTCTTATAAAAATGAAATTAGTAATCGAACTATTATGCTGCACTTAATTCAGCACAAATTTTTATGCGTGCTCTCGTAATTCGCTCGGTCACCCAACTATTCCTAATCGAAATAAAGGACTACTCTTGGTTTAATAGTTTTTGCTGCTAGTTTTCAACTTACTTATAGACTGTCGTTATTACGAGTATCTAATTGTTATTATTTTTGTCAGTTGGCACGGTTTTCGTGGTCTTACAACCCTTTCATTTCCTGGTACCAGGTGACCTTCCGTCGCCATAGCATTGTTATTAGTATTGCTTTGCCCTTTTAAACATATTTAAAAAACCGCTGTATTGACTAGTTATTTTTTTGTCTTCGTTTCTTCTTCATGAGGAACAGCCAAGGCCAAGTAAGTGTCATAAAATCTTTAAATCTTGCATTACATCTTTTTGGGGCGCCATGTAAATACATCGATCCACTGCAAGCAGAGCTTCCTTTTGTCTTCTTTACCGAGGAGAAAAAGAGGCTCTGCCCAATCGCGTCAAGCCTTTGAGGCCGCTGCAGCCCAAACTTCTAGCGTAGTCATCTCTTTTTCTCTTTTTCAAACTATTTTCCGAGTACGAGCATCCGTTTAATGGTAAACCGCGTTTGCTACCGCCGAGCCCGCTGTAGCAAACATACGGCTATTAGGCCTGGGTTTAAATATATTAGTAACCTGTGCGCATGCTCAACAAAGATCTTACTCGATTCAAGCACAGTCTTTCTAGAGTACACCAAAATCGAGCAAGCGAAAGAAGGGTTTTGCTGGCAGGGTGATAGGTTGATGAATAGGATTAAACTAATACTTTCAAAACTGAAGAAAAGCAGCGAAAAGATTATATATCTAAATTGATAGTAAAGTAATTACAAATAATTAAAATCTTTATACAGGAAGTCGCCATCACCCATGGGTGGTTTTCATACGAGACCTGTCACTAAATTAAAACTATACTAAACAATAAAAACACTAAGTACGTAAAATAGCTTAATTTGAAATACCTACATGTGAAAGTTACAAAACAATTGCGGGTAGTAGTATAAACACATAATAGCATGATTTGTACGTGATATTTGGCGTAAATACCACTCGTGATATTTCAAAATTGTCTCAAATTACGTATAACAACTTTGAAATATCACTCGTGGTATTTATGCCAAATATCACTACAGATCATGCTATTACCTATACAAATTATGCTTAAAGATGTAAAACTGGCATGACGCGTTTGGTAATTGTGGACTAAAGACCCACTAGTAAAATGATAAAAAAATTGATCCCAGTTAAGGTTCTTCCTGTCGTATTGTTTTAGTTTGTTTGCTTTCTTGTTTTTTCCTTTGTTTTTTCCCCGTGATGTTTAGTTGTATATTTCTTTTCTTTTTTGCTTCCAACGCTTCCGTGTTGAAGTCGTCTTGCATAATTATACACAATCCCAGTTCTCTTAGTAATAGCTTTTTGCCACCTTTTCACCTTTGCAGTCTTGCTGATGAACATCCGGGACTTGAACTGGAGGAGTTGGTTCACGAGGTGGATGAATGGGAGGTTGCACGTGACCGTATAAAGCTAGAAAATATGATTGGTTCTGGGGCATTTGGAGCAGTCTGGAAAGCAACTTTGAAACAATCAGACAAAAAGCATGGAGCACAGACTGTGGCAGCAAAACACTTCACACGTGAGTCAGTTCAACATATTACACTAGACAGCTTTATCTTTGATGTGAGCACGACTGTGCCTTAGATAATCGGTATTGTGGAAAGCCCCTAGTGTCATGTGGCGCGTTTAAGAACCAAAGCTGACTTAATTTGCTCTCATCACTTCTGTTGTAGCGACTGCTGGAGAAGAAGGAAGAAAAGCTCTTATGAAGGAGATTGAGTTAGGAAAAAGTCTGGCAGAAAATCCACATATTAACGTTGTCAAATTCATCGGCTGCGTTACGACACAAAGTAAAAATCCTCATTCATTACCCTTTTCAACACGATATTTCGTCTTCTTTTGCTTTTTCTTTTTCGTATAACATTTTATAGCGACATTGGAATATTCACTGAGTTGGATTGTCTCTTTACAGTTCACCCAATAATGATCATGGAGTACATGCCATATGGAGACTTGTTGGGTTATTTGAGAAAGAGCCGAGGAATTCACGACCAATATCATCATGGAGAGGGTGAGGGTTTTGAGCTGCAGCCATATGACCTGGTCGTATTTGCGAAGCACATTGCTACTGGAATGGTGTACCTTGGAAGCAGAGGGGTATGAGAACAGTTATGAAATGTAGAATTTGCTGTTACTTGCTCCTTGCCTCATTACTCCGCTACACATTTAGTTGTCCACACCAACTCAAGAGAAATTTCATTTTAGAAAACGTCAGAGCGGCTTTTTTTTGAGCGGTTTCAATCCCTCACTGTACCTGGGCGAGAAGGGATGTATTAGATATTACAATCTGGTCAGGACTTAAGACCACTTGTAAGAAATCAGTAACGTTATAATATAACGCTGTAATGTTAATCCTCTTCAAAAATTACATAGCCATATACTTTTCTGGGTGCGGTAAGCAAACGATTGGCCTAGCAATTTGCTTGTTCCATCGCTATAGTATCGTTGGTTGCGAAAGCACCGCTTCCATAATGTGGGTTCGTAAAGCGATCGATATCGGATGTAAGTGTCATTATATACGACACTTGCTGTCTGAGCGAAGAAAATAACGACAAACACAAAGAGCCATGTTTTTGACCGTGCAAAATCATGATTTCCGTGCGCAAGCTACAGTTTAGTCAGATATTTGCTGGTAGATAGCAAACTAATCTGTAGATTGCGCTGATTTTCAAAATTAACTGTAGGCTCTTCATCCGTCTGTCTCGGGAGACACTGGGATCGGCGCCAAGGTTTAGTCAGTGGTTGAGCTGCAGCGCCTGCTGTGCTGTACAGTCCGATTCTTGATCGGCAGGCTCTGTTGCCGTTGTTGCAGATGAACTCCGTGCTTGGTTCTGTGGGTACTGATGCTGCCCTCGGCTGTCCGCCCTCTTTTCTCTCATTCCACTGCTCTTTTCGCCTCTCATCACACGCCTGCCTTTGCAAGAAGCCTCCAGTGATTTCGGTCTACAGCTATAGCTCCAAATGTGCTCAGATCTCGTTTACAAACAACTTTGAAGCGAAGGTTAGGCCTTCCTGCTGGTCTAGTTCCAATGGTAAGCTCGCTGTACAGTATGTCCTTAGCAATTCGTCCGTCCTTCATGCGGCTTACATGGCGAAGCCAGCGCAGCCATCTCTGAATGAGCAAGGAGAACATGCTAGGTAATACCATCTGTGCTAGGACATCCTTGTTTGGAACACGGTCTTGCCAGGTGATGCCTAAATTCCTTCTGAGGCAGCGCAGGTGGAAGGTGTTGAATCAGCGCTCTTGGCAGGAGTAGAGGGTCCAGGTCTCGTTATTATACAGCAGCGTGCTAAGTACGCAGGCCTGGTACACTTTCATCTTGGGGCTGAAAGTCAGCATCTCTTTCCGAGACGTGCTAGTACTGCTGCTGCTTTTTCAACTCGTTTGTTCAGCTCGGTGTCTAGGGAGAGGTTGCTGGAGCCTACGTAAGTGAACTCCTCCACCGCCTCGAGAGTTTAGTCGCCGGTGGAGATGGTTGGGGTGCTGCTGACTTCTTGGCCAAGGATGTTGGTCTTCTTGAGACTGATGGTGATACCAAACTTGCTACAAGCGTGTGCAAAGAAGCTGATGAGTCACTGTGTGCGGTTTAAGCAGCATCTCTCTTATCAGTACTTTCCTAACCTTAGTCTTTGCTCGGAAACGTGTAAGGTTTCCGTCGCTTCTGGTGTTAAGGTACACACCATTTATTTGACTGGCTGAAGGGGTAAGACAGCAGTAGGAAGAAAAACATGCCGAAGGGAGTGGGAGCGAGTACACAGCCCTGTTTCACTCCGCTCTTGATAGGGAAGGGGTCTGAGGTTGAGCCGACGTACTGGACGGTTCCTCGCATGTCTTCACGGAGAGACGTGATCATCCTTGGGAGATTGGTGGGGGCAACCCATCGTCTGCAGGAGAGTAAATAGACCCTTCCTGATGACTAGGTTGAAGGCCTTGGTCAGGTCGATAAAGGCAATATATCTTGGACAGTGATAAGACAGATGAGTACAATATATAATACAGTCTAACCTCCATATGCGACCACCTGTCATAAGCGACCACCTACCATAAGCAACCGCCTATCCATAACACCGTCAACGCCTTACAGTTCGAACCTCTCGTAAACGACGACTTCTTGTAAGTGACCACTTGACGCATGGTCTGATCTGTATCTTCACTGTACGTTCCTTGTTGCCTATAGTATAAAAAGAGCTATTAGAAACAACATAGAAATACATTGTAAATATTTTGCGAATAGAAGTTGCATGCAATGAATTATTTTCATAAAGTTGAGGTGTCCAGAACTCTTTTTGGAAGAGACCCCATGTGGTTCGATTCTTGTAAACGACTTTTCCCATAAGCGACCACTAAGTCCTCGCCTTTTGGCTGGTCGCTTACTAGAGATTAAGATATAATAGAAAAGTATTGGTTCCTTTGTGAAGGGACGTTACAAGGTTAAAATGTTATTGCAGACTGTCGGTTTCCATATTACCAGATATATTCCAAAAAAAGTCCTCAGTACTCGCACCTTTTTTGAAAAGAAGTGATCAATTTTTTTTCTAACTGTTAGTTACGACCATGTAACATGCCTTTATTTTCAGATAATTCACCGTGATTTGGCAGCAAGGAACGTCCTTCTAGATCAAAACTTTGTCTGCAAGGTTACCGATTTTGGGTTATCATATCAAAGCTTCAAGTATGGCCACGGTAATGCAAAAAAGGTACGCAGATGTAACCTATCAAACTATAGCTCTTTGTTAAACGCTAAATTAATCATTCTGATGGATTTATTGACAACGTTGACAGGAACAATGGCGCTCTCCATAGTATAATCCGAATTCAGTTAAAAGGGAGAGTTTCAGAGTTTTGTATTTTAGTAGACTAAGAAGAACCCCCTTTTTTAAGTCCCTCGAGCAAAACACGCGCCAGTAATGTTGAAGAAAAGATTACGAGTCTCTTTCCAGTCCAACTGTTAGTAGTCTCAATGGCAAGGAAACCACCATTGGAGCAAAGCTAGAATTGGCTACTCCAAGTAAATTTTTTCATGACTGTATTAGGCTATATAAACCGCTACAATAAAATCGATACAAACTTGAAACGCTTCAAGTTCTCTTTTTGTCCCCCCTATGAAACTGGCACGGACAGATCGTGTTTCATAATTTCTTTAATAATTCTCTTGATTTCAACACAGTTATATTCTGTACTTTTCTTTTACAACTTAAGTCGTGGTAGAAAAGAAACAAAAGAAAAATGGCTACCCCGCACGCTTTTTTTTGTTACAAATATTTCCGATTATTTTCAACTGTGGTTGACAGATCCGTTATTGATGATTTTTAATGTTAGAGAAAAGGAAATTCCCTTTCGTCAACCTTTAACGCTATATTTACACTGTTTCCCTTATTATTGTTTATCTATGGTGCGTTCACAAAAATTAATTTTAATGATTTTCCATTAATAACAATAACGTATGTTATTAACATCTACGTAGTAGAAAGGACTTTTGTCATCAGCAAACTGGTGAGAAAAAATAAATGTAACAATAAAACAACTTGCACAATCCAATGTAATAACGTAACTTCAATTTACGATTGTCGTTCGTATCTAAAATTAGAATAGAAAGTACAATTTCAGCCTAGCTAGATAATGCTAGTAGACCTATGTAAAACAACAGCACATGTATATGTTAATGTCTTGTCACATTGTTATCATAGGGCTGCATCCCTGTTAAGTGGACAGCACCTGAGATTCTTTACGGAAATCCTGCAGAACTTTCCACCAAAAGTGACGTGTATGTTGAAATACAAATAAGTTAATCTGAAAACAATTACAGCAAGATGCTTAACAGAATAAAATGATAGCACTGCTAATAATGACGGGGCAGGTGTTGAATGTGAAAAACTCTCTCTTTTCTTTCTTACTGCGTCCTTTATAGTTCAAACTGCGACTTTCGAATTAATATGATCATTCTCAAGATCCATTACTGCTGACAAAAATCTGATATGTATTTTTCGTTGAAAGGTAACAGCGTACATTGATAGGATTTTTTCACCCAAAAGGATTTCTTTCGAGCATCAGTAACGCATAAGAAGTGATTAGAGTTTCATAGCTGAACAACTCAGATAATAGTGGTAATTACGGAGCACATTTGAAATATCAAGCAACAAGCTTTCTTTGTGATTATGTTTTCGTTTGGTGGCAGGTGGTCATATGGAATCGTTCTCTACGAGATATTCACCATTGGTAGGTGATATATTTAAACTTTTTTGTTTAAACACAAAGATTTTCACCTTTTTAACTTTTTGCAGAAAAATGTGTAGAAAATTTACTGTGTAAAGATCGCTCTAGAGAGTATGAAGAAAATTAAAATAGGACTTCCTTTGTCCGTCTCCTATAGTTGATGACTCGCCACAGTAATCTTATTCCTAAAGTTACCTTCTGAGCGGGAACTAATAAGAGTTAAAGGGTAGAATGTGATAGTTTCACTTGCACTCGCAGCTAAAAGTCCCTTACGTGGTCTCTGAGACAGAGAGATAATTCTAAGGGGACAGGTATAATTTAAGTAATTGTGGATCCCAAAAATATTTAAATGCAATACATGAAAATCGTTAGTCTAAAGTGAACTAATACGGTCTAACCTTTCCGTACTGACCTCCGCAATACAGGCGACATCTTTTTAAACCCTGTATTACAGACAGTTGTTGCGATCCCGACATACAAAAACTCCATACAATCTCTACCATGAGGCTCTTGTATTGCGAGTACGTAGCTCTGTCATCAAGGAAGTATGACTGTTATTGTTTATCAGTCAGGTCATGACTATGAAACGTCCAGAATGAACATTCCAACTGGTGATTAATTTCCTTAATAACTCTGTTTCTGTTTCTAAACGTTCCTTCAATAATCTGTAAGTAAACATGTATTACGTTTCTAATTCAAAAAAGCTGAAAATCGGGTAATATCTTCAAGATTGAACAACGAAATATACATTTTTTCAATTCACAGGAGGTATTCCATATCCAGGCTGGTCAGAAGCCAAAACAATTGCGGAAATTAAAAATGGGTATCACATGCCAAAGCCCGAACACGTCGACAACACGCTGTACGTTTCACGTCATAAACTTATTTAGTATGCATATTGATTAATATACCTTATTTATTTATTTTATTTTATTATTTATTTACTATTTAGGTCTGTTGCTCAATAATAAGCATTTTAGACCAATCTAAAACTTATACACAAACGTGTCTAAAATGGCACTTTTAAGCGCAAAGTAATGAAGTGTTTATAAATGTTTGAATTTGCATTTATTAAAGCAGCCAGTGAATTGGACAACAGTGTTTCCCTTGGGATTGGATTCCCTTCTGTAATTGTCCTTGGGTAGAACGAGTACTTGTACTAATCCTTAAAGGCTGTCGGCTATGTGTAAACGTACTCTTTGGAGCAAGTTGAGTACGAATGGCCGGCTGATTGTACTTTGGCATCTTCTTGGCGTTCTATGGTTCGACTACTTTATAATGTCTACCATTTCGGGGTTGAAAGCATTTCGGTTACACTATCTTTGCGGTCGAAGCGATTTAGAACCCAGCGTGCAGCTCTCCTTTAGACAATCTCAACCGTGTTTATACACGCCAGGAGCGTAGCCAGCTTCTTGTTGTTGTAGGCCTGGCTGACTTGCATTTCCACATATCCTGAAAATAGCACCCAGGAATAGTACGTACTGACCTCAGCAACACTTTGAGCTCTAAGCTTCTTAGCTGATCCCAAAAACCCATAATTTATTACAAGTGGTAGAGTGATCAGCCGGCAAAAATCTGTGGTCCCAGGCCTACAGGACTAGGGGATGGCTAAGCCCCTGCAAGCCAGCATTGCAGGCGATAAGGACCAATGGGATAAAAGCGATGTCACGCGTTTTTTTAGGGAGAAAACAAGTGATAACATCTGTGAAAAAGATCCGCGAAGGGGGAACGCAGTTGATAATTCCATGCCAATATCCTGTTCACCTATCATGTGGAAATTAATGACTGGATAACAGCTGATTGGATCTGCACTTTTCTCGAGCAGAGTAAGAGATGCTGCCGGCTAGAGAGAAAGGAAGCTAAAGGATGCAGGAGGAAGAAGAAGTAACCAACAACAAGGAACAACTCCTTATTGACAAAAAGCTAACATAAGCACAAAAATTTGGTCATGCCGTTTATAGACTATAACAAAGCCTATGACATGGTCCAACGTTCTTGGATTATCGAGAGTCTGTTATTAGTCCAAGTAACACCAAATGCAACTGAATTTGTGGAAAGATCGGTAAAGAGCTAGAGCACTCAGCTAACAGCTTGGGGATAAACGTTGAGTACGGTATTTGAGAAAAGCCACAGCAGGTTGCAACACCAAAGTAAACCAGTTGCTTTTCACAGAGACGAGCTTAGTAGTTGGGTATCCACCGTCCAACTCCTCTGACAAGATATAGGAATGGATTTGTTTTACAGAATAGCAGGGTGACAGTAGTGAATAATGGGAAGCTGAGTAAGACCGAGGGTATTCGACATGTGAATGGTGAGAAAGTGGGTGAAGAGTGGTACAAGCACCTGGGAATGATGGAACCGGATAGAGTAAAGGAGAATGATATGAATGATACTCTTAAGTATGAGTACCTGCGAACACTGAAGTTGATAATGAATTCTAAATTGAATGGCGGAAGCAAAATCAAAGCTGTAAACATATAGACCGTAGCCTTATTGCGATATGGAGGAGTGATCAGATGAACAAAGAATGAACTCCAAAACATCGACGGGATGACCAGGAAGGTGATGACAATAAAAAGGAGCTGCACCCAATAAGTGATACTGCAAAAATATATCTATCAAGGAAGTAGAGAACTTATTAGTTTCGAAGCTTGAGTCAGTGGGGAAGAAAATAATTTAAGTTGGTAGGTAAGGAATTCCGAGAAGGTGTTGCTTGAGAAATTAGGTGAGAGAGAAACAGTGACGGTGAATGAGACAAAGGATGCCAGGGAGTGTAACAAGAATAAGAAGAGAGAAATGGAAAACAGATGGTAAGAAAAAATGTATGGGCAGTATGTCAGGGACATGACGGAAGTGGATTGGGAGAGAACATCGCAGTGGTTGCTGAAAACGACCCTGGTAAATGTATGGGAAGGCTAAACTGAAACGGGAAGATCAGTGATACAAACATATCAGAGAGCGAGTAGTGGAAAATGGGTATTTCAAAGTTCTATAGGATTTTAATGTACTGTATGATATGATAGTTGAAGCTAGAAGGCCGGACATCATCTTCGTTGATAAGTAGGCGAGAGAGGCCAAGATCATCGACATTGCTATCCCTGGACATGCATGAGAAAAATACAAATAAATGTAAACAGTTGAGAAGTATTAACTTGTCTAATCTGCGAAGAAATAGGGAATTTGTGGAAGCTGGACAAAGTAACGGCGGTGTCAATTGTGATTGGAGCATTGAGAGCTGTATCCGATATATGTTTTAGAAATACACTTGAAACATACAGAGAAGATAGAGAAGTAAGAAAGGCGATTGTCTAAAGCTGAGGCAAGCACCCCTTAGGATCAACAGAGCTGATGTACCTACCTGGGAAACTTGGAGGAGGAGGCCTTAAGTCATTGGAGGAAGAATATAAATTGACCAAGATCAAGGCGGCAGTCAATCTGTACAGTAATCCAGACCCCGTGATGCAGGTGCATAAAAGGTATGAAGAGAAAGCCGAGGGAAGTGGTCTACGGGCGTTAATTGAAGATGCCACGAAATATGCCCAGCAACTGGGTTTGGAACTTAACTTAAGTTCGCACATCCTGTTGCAAAAAAATGAGACAGCAGAGAAGTGGATGGAGCGTCAATTGGGAGATGTTATAAGGAATAATTAACAAAGCGAATGGAAGAAGTTAAAAGTGAGAAATGCCAAGCAAAGCTAGTGGCAGCAAGGTGGAATGACAACGATTTGGAGGATGACCGTTTTGAGTGGCTAGAAGCCTGGACATCAGTGCCTTCTAGTATCATCGGAAGCGCACAGATATTGTACAAACAGCTCCTTCCAACGAAAGTTTATCAACTAAGAAGAACAGGGTTGAATCCATCACCTGATGTCACATGCAGAATGTTTAACAAATCCCAAGAGTTCACGTCGCACTTTCTTGCCTGCTGCTCAGCTCTAGCGCAGACCAAATACCTTGCTCCACACAATTCGATGTTAAAGATCCTATTCTTCGAGCTGCAAAAAACTAGGTGTGATTGACAACCATCGCCTATGGTTTTCTGTTGCTGAAGCAAAACCAGTATACAAAAAAAGCGCTTTTAAGATTATTGGGATGTGCAAGTTTATGCCGAGAACACTTAAGTCAAAGCAAACAGAAAAGATGCAAGGATGCAAGAATAATCATATTTAGTACTGTTAAAGAAACTTGAACTTTTTAACTTTTTAGGCAGTTTTAAGTACAGTTGGTACCTCATCGTTTTTAATGGTTATTGAGATTCCTGGTGTGGTTATTGTGCCACTTTTGGCATTCAAAAGGTTTTTGCTGTTTAAATAATAATATAGCTACCCAATTGTGCAGATTTTGACACCGCTACTAAGAAACCGCCGATGACATGACAAGTGGTTGCCCTGAATTAGAAAAGTCCTAGTACATCTATAGACACGACAAGACAGCCTCTTACATCCTCTGGAATATCTGCAGAGAGTACAGCATCAAAGTGGCGGACAAATAAGAGAAAATGAAAGTGAAACATGTACTATCATCTGGGACGTGGCGGTTAATACCAAAAAAGAAATCAAATTCACTCAACAGGCCTGACATCATTATAAAAGACCAAGACCTGCAAAAGGGCCTACCTGCTGAACTAAATACCCGTCAAAATGGTTGAAAGCTATTAAATTATAAGGAAATCTCAATGACGTGGGGCCTGTAGTTATTATGAAAAACTTCCGGTAAAATAGGTCGAAAAAATCCCTGGAAACATCAATATTGAGGACCTCCAGAAGAGCATCCCTCTAGACCTCATTTTTTTTTACGAAACGTGCTCTTCGCCAACTAAATGACGTCTCCTCTTAGCCTCTCGAAAGGAAACTGGTAGGCTCTCGGAGCTCTAGGAAGAAAGAACTGCGAAGCAAGATTGACTGTAAACGATTGTTTGGTGTCATTGATCTCGTAACGTTTTGTTTTAAACTCAGTGTAAGATTTTGAGGATCTTGATATTCTATTCACCTTTCAGGTACCATCTGATGGAGAGATGCTGGCAACAAGAGCCTGACTTTCGCCCAAGTTTCGAATTTCTTCGTCAAAAACTGGTCACATACATCGAGGAAAAGGTTACTTTTTAGTAATTTTATATGATTTTTAGCTTCTATGGAGTCAAGAATATACATTATCTTCGTAACTACCTTATTGGTACATGATTTCGCTGTCACTTAATTTTGAGATTGTGGCGAGACATTATTTCGAGGGGTTTTATTCTCGTGATTTTAATAGGCAACTTTTAAATAAGGGTATTAAATTTCACGATTTAAGAGTTCTCAACTTCATTTTGTTTTTCAAAATGACTCCGAACTTATTTTTACAATTTTATTCTTTTTGGGGTTATGTCAAGCATGCCTCGATTACAGTACTCCTTTTTTTAGGATAATAGTAAAATTTACCAACCGAATTAAGGAAACGCACCGTGAGTGAAAACAAACAAAACCGTATGGAAAGTCGAGATGCATATTCCACAAATTCAATTTTAGCTTGAAACCTAGTTAAGCCATCCTCGGCACAACATGCAGAAAGTATTGCTAATTCATGAGTCGGTTTATAGTTTGGAAAGCAGGTAGAGTACAGTAGAATTTTACAGACCTCCAAGGGAAAAAACATCAACAATTCAAAACAAGCTCTGGAAAAAAAAACACATCTGAAAAACTCTGCCTTTGCATCATACTTAGTACACTTCGCTGTCACTACATGACCAAATGCACGTGTTTTTAACTACTACAACCAAGACAACTGAATCTTGAGGACTATTGTACCCGCTCTTGGGAACGATCCTTAACAATTCAATTCCAGGAAACTCGCTTACAGAGATAAAAAAAAAGCGATAAAGTTTGAAGAGGCTTGAATTCACTTCTGGTGTAAGTAATGTTTTCTCGTCTAGCCTTCCTGTAGCCGCACCCCTCCCCGACAAAGGAAAAACGTTTTTCCTTGGTCGGGAGGGGGAGGGGGCAGGGTGCGGCTACCCTTATAGAACTTATCGTCGTTTTGGTTGTTTTATGGAGCTCCTTGATATGAATACCGCAGCCGCTATAATAAGAGTAGAACTCATTAAAGGGTTCCACTGCGAAAAGTTACAATGCAGCGGACATCAGACCACAGACATGAAGAACCACTTTTTTTTCATATTCTACCGTAAATCAAATGACACACGCCAGTCTTGTCCGTTTTTGACTGTCCTTTTTTGGAGAAAAATTTTGGTACATCTGAAAACATTGGAAACGTGAGAGCTATCGCAAAAAAGGTAACTTTCCCGTTTAAATTTACATCTATAAGTTGTTTGTTTTCTTTCTTTAAGATGTACTTGAAGATGAACATGTCGAAGTACAGTTCCGCAAAATACTCACAGGTCGAGGATAAGGCTGAATTTGAAGAAAACCCAGCGGGACGAGCAGCTCAAGCAAGGAATAGGCCAATACCACCCCCCAGAAACCTTAAATGGACCAGTTTTCGACAGCCGAGCAATAACCAACAGGGTGAAATAGTGTAGACAGAATGGATACCTTCAAACAAGGTTTTGTCCTCAGATAAAATACACTAAGGGCGAAAGCAGAAAATTTTATTTACGCCTTAGGCTGTTTAGTTATAATCCAGGATTAGAGAATTTGATTCCCAATTGTGTTTACCTTCATATAGATTGTTTAGAGTATCATAAATATGTCTTAACCCTGAGTAAAACTTGATCATCTCGCGAAAAGCTAGGACCAGGAAAATTGTACTGTGTTACCGGCTGGTTTGAGGTATTCAACCTGATTCTGGGGTGCTTACCATTTGACAGAAAGTCCCTTTGGGATTTCTAAAGAATAACGGTAAGCGATTGACCAGATTATCGCAGAACTTTAACTCCTGTTACGAATTAAATCCAAAGGAGGTGTCAACTAGAGTAGGTCTGAAACCGAGAAATTTCAGGCTAAATGGTAATTATCTAGCTTACTTAGTACAACATAATCATACCACAATGGAGGTACCAAGACTACGGCAGTTCCAAACTTTGTCATACATTGGAATTCCTCTTTGATACTAGAATGTGAGGACTGTTATTTAGTTATCAGTAGTCCAGCAGCATTAAACAAGTAGAGTATACTAAATTTGGTAATCGTATATCATTCCTGAAATAGATTAGAAAAACATCAACCAATGAATGACAACTTAAGGGAAGTATAATCACGTTATTATAGAAAAGAAAGACAATGAAACTAGTAATAGAAAAAATATTCATAGTTGTTGTGCTAGTTACATGTAAGGGAATGAGTTAACCCATAAACTTGTTTAAGAGGAGTATTAACCATTTGCTATATTATTAACTAAATACTGTTAAATTTCATTAACTGATCAAGTCAGGATAAAGAATCGCTAAAAGAACATAAAATAGATTTCATGTTACTTTCCATTATGAAGAGTGAATGGTGTGCTTGCCATATATTAAGCATTTTGGTGTTTAATTTTAAGCAAGGATCGCGATTTACATAAGATACAATAACAGATTTTGCTTCGTTTAAAGTAAATTTTATTGCTCTCAAGATGGCCACGGCGAGAGCACTTTTCACATGTTATGCGTCCTCTTGTTGCGATTGCATAAACCATCAACCATTTCACTCAAAAAAAAAAGAAAAAATTGATAACTATCTTACAGATATAACGTTAAAACAAAGCTTTCGTCTCTTATTTTAACCTTGTTATTTAGGTAATAATGATTATTAGAAAAATAGTCATGAGCATTATTCGTTAAAACAGGTTATTTCCTGCAGAGAAAAATATTTATATAACCTTTTGCTAAAGTAACATTTTGGTAATGAAATCGCATTTTAATAGACTAGATCAAGACAATTTTCGTGTTACTTTGTAACAAAATGCAGGAAAAAAAGGCTCTCAGGATAAATTTGTTAGTGTAAATCATGCGAAGACGAAAGCTATGAATAAAGTAGAAAAGTAAACAATTTGTGAAACTTGTTTTGGATCCTAGGGAGTAATTCTGGCCTATGGGGGAGGACCGGAATTCAATGCTTCTAAACCTGTTCTGATCTCAAGAGCTATACTCGGGGATTAACCTTTCTTTTTGGTACAAATTTTTCGAATGGGTATAAAGTCCAGGTTCAGAGCTACCACTGGGAACCCCTGGTTCACCTAGGATGAAGCGAACGATGGTTGGCAAACACATAAAGCAACAATTAAGCAAGCAACGCTTCTTCATACTAATTAAATTAAAGACATTTTCACACAGTATTTATATGGAGATCTTCTATTTCAAAAAATTTCAAAGAAAAAAGACAGCAAACAATCAAACGTAGGATGTAGGCCTCCATGTGAAATTAGTATATACAAACTCAGTGATCTTGGTGATTTAAGCAATCTGATTGGATCGCTATCTCGGACTATTCAACAATATTCACCTTCTAGCGAGTGGATAATGTGTGAGCTCGGTGTTTTTCCCATTTTTTTAGAGAATGATCTTTTAAAAGTCGACAAAATCCTAGGGTTGACTTTTTTTAAGGCAAGAAAAGACTTCGAAGGATTCAAAACGTCGTTTTTCATTCACTGTAGCTGAGTTTTGTGCTTTGATAGATTGTTTACAACTCCCGTTTATTCGCGTAGAGAAGGCCCTTTCGTGAACTCACCGTTTCCTAACCAGAAACATTTGGCCCAAAAATCGAAGTATATTTATGACAAATAAATTTGAAAGCAAATTTTTGCAGAAATTCTACGTTTCAAGTAAATGGGAAAAAGAATGCTACAGGAAGACGACGTTTTACCTCGAGCAACCGAGCGGCCATTTTTTTCAGCTCTTCATGCGAAGAACGACACAACAAACCTTTCTGGCTATAAACTTGGCGAGTCAACGGAAAAGAACAAAGCTCTACTTTTACTCTCAGGTAAGGAAACAATTCAGACTTTTAACGGTTCCATTTAAGCCATTACGCTGTTGTTTGCGAAGTGATAAACTTGTGAATTGCCATGTTTGAAAATTCTGCAAAGACCTATTTTTAAACTTACGCGTGATTTGATCCATCAATCAAATCGTACTTTTTAATGGTTTCCTACCTGATTTTGTTGAGATTACTAGGTGTGTATATACCAAAACAATTATTCTTTTCAATCTCGGTGAATAGTGGCTTTAGGAATATTTACCTCGCCGCTTAGCGTCTCAGTAAATATTTAGCCTCTATTCACCTCGATTTCAAAGAATAATTGTTAAATATTAGGTTTATCAGGGTGATATTATGGTGAACCTGTTTCCCAAGCCTGCCAGGCAGAATATACCAGTCTGGTTGACCTAAAACACCTAACAGTTGTTAGAGGGGGGATAGCTGGTATCGTTGTTTAACAAGTGAAGAGGAGCAGTGAACGACGTGATGAATCAATCCTCTTTCCACTTGCCCATTGCCTGAAATTCCACCTTATCAGCGATGTAATGCACTAGTTAGTGGAAAGCCCCGCACCCCCATACCCTGGGAATGCGGGGCTTTAGCGTGGGATTTCAACCGTTTTAGACTGTTTTTTCCGCCACTTTGGGCGGGGTTTACACAAGTATCAGGGAGCCGGTACAAAAAGCGTGGCTTTAGCGGGGCTTAAGGTTGATTTCCACTAACGCGATTTTGGCTACGCACGTTAACGCACGTACGTTTTAATCCCGTAAATAACATAGAGGTAAGATATAAAGTGTGGAGATTAAATGTGAAGTTGAGCGAGGTCCTACTTCTAGGCTTACGTACGACCTCTCATTTACCTCCTTTTTATTTGCGAAAGTAAATTTGACGCACGTACGCGCGTAAAAATTACGCGAGACTGGAAATCAACGCTTACACGGGGATTCAAATTCGTCTTTTAGTGAAATTCGTAAAAGATTTACATTATTTATGTCGCTGTCATGTTTGACAAGCGATTTATTTATAGCATTGACCTTTTGCGTGAAATTCATCGCCACTGGAAATATGTTTAGTTTTAAAATTGGGTACCGTAAAACTTTTCAAAGGCCTTTTTGAGGGGCTTATTTTTGGAGGGGCTTATATTCGGAGGGGCTTATCTATGGAGGGAAATTTGCGTTTCAAAATCGAGTGGGCTAGCCTTAAAGTTGGAAGGAAATTTACCGTTTTTGCTTTGTTTTACTTTGTATTTGAGGGCAATTTCCGAGTACAAGCCCCTGGGAGGCTTATATATGGAGGGGCGATTTAACGGACGGTTTTTTGCTTATATTTGAAGGGGCTTATACATAGAGGGGCTTATTTTCGGAATTTTACGGTATTGTATTAAATGCATAAAGTGAATTTGCATGTATTTAGTACTGCCATTCTTGCTTCAGCTTGGATAGCTTGCAACAAAATGAGAAAAGTGTGGACCTCAAAGCTGCCATGGGCAACAAAGATCAGACTGTTTAGAGCAACTGTGGAGTCTGTCTTACTCTATGAAAGTAAAACGTGGACCGTGACGAAGAAGCTGGAGAAAAGTGTCAATGAATGCTACGCCAGAATGCTGGGAACGGCCCTGAATGAGCAATGGCAACAGCATATGAACAACCAGGAGCTATACGGGAGCCTACCAAGAGTTACTGAAACAATCCGTGCAAGACGATTAAGAGACTGTTTCAAAAGCGCTACTTTAGGAACCCCAACATGGTCACCCAAATTGAGGTAGACCTAGAACTGCATACATTGACACCATCAAGGCTGATACTGGTCTGCACAATACCAAAGAGATAAGAGATGCAATGCTCGATCAGGTCGTGTGGAACGAGTTTATTAGGATGGCTCGGGATGATTCCCGGCCCAGGTAAGTAAATGTTCTTGTTAACTGATTTTATATCTTAAAGCTTATTTAAGGATTTTAAATTGTAAATGAAATAGCGACTTTTGTTTTACTAGTAGGTCGTATATATTTCAATACAAAGACAGCCGGTGGGTAGTTGATATCTGTAACAATGAAAATGTTACTCAGAGCATCAAGGGTTACTACAAACTCAGTAGTGCTGCGGCTGTGGTTTTACAAAAATATTCTGAGAGGGGCGGGACCAAAAGTGAGGTTTTGACGTTCGAAATTGCCCTGCATAGCAGGAAGGCGGGAAGGCGGGCCTAGTCTAATACTCAGCTATTCCCCGGGTATGGGGGTGCGGGGCCTTCTCCTGACTAGTGCATAATAGTAATAACAGGTCACAGAAGTCAAAAGATGGTCCTTTTGGCCGTAGTAGTTTAGGTGGCACAACCAAGACAGACCATATATGGTCATGCTCATTAGCATAGTCACCTCAATTTGTTGAAGGGAGGGCAGGGAATAGGTAATAGATGTCACACAATTTCAAAAACAACGCCAACTCATTATTTATTAGTTTGTTTAACCCAGTTTACAAGAAAGAACATGTGGCTGGCTGAGTGCCGCACCTTCCCTCTACTGTTCCTCCTCGTCCGGTGAACACCAGCTAGCGGAAAGTAGATAATTTGTCACGGTCCACACGCTATTCATACACCAACACTACCTTTTATCTCGGTGGACGGTGGTCACGCATTCATGCATAGTCTTGTTCAGCATGATGATATAATGTATGTACGAGGTTCCGCTAGCGGTTCGTGAGCTTCGGCGAGCATAGTTCGCTTCATACCATCGTAGTGTAGATGGTATCTTCCACACCTGTTGAGGGTCAACCCATGGATCTTCACCTCGGTCTCGCCCTTTTTTTGGTCTCGT